TTTCCCCCAACAACCTGAGACCCCGGTCAGTCTCTCCCGCACGGGCTTGGAGGGCTTTGCTCTCCCTCCGCCCGGCTTGCTTGCTCGGGTTGGGCCTCGTGGTCCAGCCAGTCCCGGGCAGCAGTTTCGCCACTCGCCACAAGCTCTCGGCAATCTCTGTGCGAAAGTGGCCTCTGGGCCGCCCCGCCTCCCGCCCTGCTCCGCCCTGCTCCGCCCCTCGGGCGTGGGCGTTGTCGGTGGCGTCGGCAACGCACCCGGACGCGACGCCCCTCAGTGCGCAGCTCCGGGGTGCCTGGAGTGAATCCCTCCGAATCCCTCTCAGTGTCAGGGGCGGCGCGTCTGCTCTCGCAGAATGATTCCACCCTGCCTTAGGAGTTTTAGCATGTGGTTTTAGGAAGTTCTAGGAGGCCAATCAGCGGCCAGAGGACAGTGGCTCGTGTCTTGACAGGCAGTGTGCCGAATTACCGTGCTGAGCTTGAACTTGTTGCCCTGCCCGGTCCGGGCTTGGGTGTTCCCTCACCAGTAGTATATGGTGACAGCCGAGCCGAGTCGGTTGCCAAATGACTACTAACGTTCGCAGACCACGTGGAAGTGGTGTGGCGTGGCAGGGGCGGACTGGCAGGAAGGGGGCGTGGGGAGAGGAGAGGGCAGGGGCGGGACCGCACTAGGCCCAGGGGGCGATCCGTTGGTCCCATCCCAATGAATGGTCTTTGTCCCGCTATTAAAACATAAAATTTCGCGAGTGCAGTTTACTGATGGTGCAGAGCGGACCACACCGCCCCAGGTGCGATTGGCCGCGGTCCTGGAGCATTAGCTGGAGCTGCTGGACAAACACAATGCCGGTCGACCGGGACGCCGCTCCAGGCCACCTCCGCTTACCTGCCCGCCCAGCGAACGAGCTGCGAGCGCGGAGCAACCAAGCTGCCAGCCAGGCCAGGCTCTGGACCGAACTTCACCTGCGCGCCCCCGCCCCCCTGCCCTGCCCTCCCTCCGAGGGGGATGGTAGCTATTGATATTGAGGTTGGAGTGAGGCTACTTTAGTTCCTTTCCTCATTTTTGGACAATGAATGTGAATCTTAGGTCTTGATAAAACTGCAGAAGTTATTCGGCATTATCACCAAGAAAGCACAACAAGTTTTAGTTAACGTTTAAAAAAATGCATAAAGTTACGGAAGCCAAGGAGAAAGAAATTTTAGAGAAAATATCCGCCAACGATGTCAACGGACTTCAAAACCTTCTTTCCGCCCTTAAGCTAGGCAATGTTGACTATGTGGACGAAAACGGTATGACTCCGCTTCAGCATGCCTGTTACAAAGGAAACAAGGAAATAGCTCAAATGTTGTTGGATCAGGTAATTTTCCACTGAACTAATTGTATTATTGTGCTAGGCAAGCACTGTTCTGCTTGCATGGTGACCCGTTGTCGAAGCTGAAGGGATCGGTAATCGGAGTTTGCGAACCGGTCTGTTTATGTTTTGTCATGAAAGTACCAGCTGATTGTTTTTTCTAGGGTGCAGATGTCAATAGCGGCAAGCATGAACATGGGTATACTGCATTACATTTCGCTGCCTTGTCTGGAAATACCGATCTATGCCAGTTGCTACTGGAAGCAGGAGCTAAGATGTATGAGACCAACTCAGTTGGTCGCACAGCATCTCAGATGGCTGCGTTTGTTGGTATGGGAGACCACTTTTTGAAGTTTTCATTCAAACATGTTTTACGACAATGGTCTATGCCTCGTTTAACCACATTATTCTCTCTTTGTAGGTAATCATAACTGTGTTGCTGTGATGAACAATTTCGTTCCAAGATCGGAAATTGACTATTACACTGTTCCACAAGGCTTGGAAAAAGAGCCCAGGCTCCAACCTTTCCTTGCTGCCCCCTTACACAAATTTATAATGCAGGTAATTCTGAATTCTGTACATAAATATTTTGGAACTCATCCAGAACATCAGTCAACACAGTTTACCATTTATTTCAGGTTAATATGAGCCCTGTACGTGTTGCCTTAAATTTACATGGAGTTTTATTGGATCATCTAGACAAAGCGAGAAAGGTCTTAGAACTTTTACGAGATCGTGAGGCTCATCGGGGTTCTGAGACTAATGAAATAGCTACATTCAAATTTCACTATCTGTCTTTTGTTGTGGCAGAAATATGTCAGATACAACAGAGGCAACAACAGCTTCAATCACAAATGAAACTAAAAGAGGTACACTTGTCAGTTATTTGACCATGCGTAATACCTGTTTACTTTCCCTGCAAGCAGGTGTACAATAATTAATTTTTATTTCCATGTGATAGAAAGAAAATGAAGAAGACAAGACCAAAGATGAAGAAAAGGACAAAAAGTGGGATCCGATTGAGCTATTTGTGAAAAGTATGTTGAAACCAGCCCAACCTGGCAAACCTCTCACATCAGAACTTCAGGATCGTTTCTTACGAGAATGTATAAGGGAATATCCTTACCGTGAGAGCAACCTTTTAAGACAAATGGTATGCTAAATATTTTAAGTATCAGAAATGCAAGAGACCTTTTCTTTTTCAATGACATGTTGGAAGGTTGTTAGTTCTAATCAGAATATTTATTTTCTTTCATTTTAGGTCACCAGCTTGGCTCCAAGTGATTCTCCAAGTGCCCTATCTGTGATCTCAGCAGCTATTAATGGTCAAAGAGGTTTCAATGACTCTGCTGCCTCAGCTTGTTGTACATGTGGGGAGGAAAAGGCTCCCAAAAAATGCTCCAAATGTAAAGCAGTGCAATATTGTGACCGAGAATGTCAACGGCTACACTGGTTCTTGCATAAAAAAGCCTGTGCTAGACTTGGGTCAGCAAATAGTGCTATTGGGAATGGTGGAGGTATGACCCCAACATCTGACAATGGAGCTATTACTGAAAATGCTTAGACTAGCGTACTTAATTTTGCCAATTCTGAATGTTGGGTGCTTTTGCTGGTTTACTCGTGTAGACATGTTCATTCTGATGAATTTGCTGTTGTAGTTAAATCTAAAAAGTGTTAATGGTTTTATTGTGCATGTAATATGGAATGACAGTATGTGATTGGATGAGTAGTGCACTTATCAGTTCTCATATTCCTGTTTCATTGCCTTCCATTCTTTGTGTTGATGTGTGAAACAAATTTGAAGTAATGTTGTGTGATTGCTGTTTCATTGGATAGAATTGTACTTAGGTATTTTTTCACCTGGAGTGATATTTGAAAAATGTACACAAAAACCTTGTTTTTGTTTATCATTGTAATTTTCATTTACTTTTCATTCCAAGTTGCTATCTGTAAGCAATTTTTGGAGTGATTTTCTCCTTTTTTTAACACTTCCAATATGTGCCACTTGACGTCAAACTTCAATTTTATGTAGGTATAGCAATCTATTTAGAAACGGGATTGACTTGAGTGCAAGGTAACATTGTGATAATTCTTACTTAAAACTTGGCTTTATGACCTAGTCATTTCTTGGGCAAAGAGAGATTTGTGCTTTTTTCCTTAATTTCAAATTTCACCCGTCGTTCTCTGTCTGTCACAGGCGTTTGTTAAGTCTTCATCTATTTGAATTTGCCATTTCTGTACAATTTCTGTATATTTTTAAGAATACACTATATGGATTGAGTCTGATTGTTTAATTTTATAATTTCGTTGCGCGCGCGTATAGCAGATCATCAATTTTAAATATGATCTTGAATTCCTTAACTTACTGGTGGATCCTTGGTCAAGGCACCCTCGCGTTTGTTGTATGCAGCCTCTTGGCACGCCGCGTGCGCAGACCGTATTAGTTCAACACCCGTATGAATTAACCCGGCCTTGGCCGTGGCGCGCCGGGGGCGGCCGAGACCGGAGGGACGGAGGGGGAGCCAGCCAGCCGCCGCCTCTACCTTCTCCTCTTCGCCGCCGCCGCTACTACCACCACGACGACCACCACCACCACTACCACCACAATCTGGCCACACATGCCGGGTAGGGGCCCGTGCCGTGGCCCAGCCGAAGCTTGGGCTGGAGTGAAGAGAAGAAGTGAGTGGAAAGCTTTGGGGCTCGAACTCAGCCCCCCCCCCCCTTTTCCCCCAACAACCTGAGACCCCGGTCAGTCTCTCCCGCACGGGCTTGG